TGTATCACATGATGGGGGTTGCCATTTGAAATTTTTGAGTTGCCCCCCGCCCCCCCTCCCCCTGGGGGGGTGAAGAACTGAAAAGTACCTCAAAAAGTTTCCCCCTCGATATGAGGAAGGACGCCACAAACCGCAAATCGATATCATAATTAGAACTAAAGTTATGGCCAGTGGTGCGTAACTTTTGAATAACCCTGTATAAAACATGTTTAGCTCGTTGAGGCACACTGCGTATTGTATGGAGTACTGCTGCTATTCTGCCGTGCTAAGGAAAAACGCCGTATGAGCCTTCAGGCGTTGCCAAATTTCCTCAGGCAAATCACTAATTTATAGGAACATTTTTGAATATTTTTCCACCAATTTCTCAGATAATTTTGTTTGTAATTTGATCTAAAGTGTCTGCCATTTTCAAAGGAATAAATGTATAATTTTCCTTAAAAATAAAAATTTTATCGAAGGAAATTTGGTGACTATCGAATGCTCATACGGCGTTCTTCCTTAGCACGGCAGTATTCGATCCTTGTCTTCAGGTCAAAATTCTTACAGGGAAGCCCCTTGCAAGAGGCGAATTTTTTTGTAATTACTCCCAATTTTTTTTCCGTTATATAATGGAATTGCTTGTCAAATTCTGAGGTCAATTACATTTAATGGAGAATTTGCAAGGGTCTGAAATTTGATGAATTTCCTGTTTAAGTGGAATCCTCTGAGTGAACTGAACACGAAGATACCCTTGATTCATAAATCGAGCAATTATTAGAGGAGATATGACAAAATAACCGATTCTGCTAAAATACATGTGTTTCAATGGGAAATGCCGCCAGATGACGTCACAAGGCGGCACATTTTCTCACTTTTAAATCAATTTTTCTCCAATTTCCCGTGTCAGAAAAAAATTATGAAAAATATTGCGAACTCAGCTCATTAGGCACTTTCAGATGAAGCAATAAAAAAATTGCGTGCAAATTCTCCATTGTAATTTATACACTTCTTTTTTTTCAGTGGCGTGGCGTGACTATATCCGGTAGGCGTTCGGTAGGAGTGTTAACTTTAGGACGGAGGGGGGGGGGGCTCAGAAAGGTTCACTCCCCTTCCTTAAAGGGGAGTGCGGGGGGCCTCCCCCGGAAACTTTTTAAAAAATGAAGCCGCAAGAACACGATTTTAACCCTTTCTGGTGAAAATTGTGCCGGTAAATTGTCATTGAAATTTTGTTCCTTTTACTGATCGTTTTCCTGTAATTTATTTTGTTAAATGATAACGTATTTTCGCAACACGCACCTGCAGAGAGAGGTGGGAGAGGGAGACTGGGAAACTGGGAGATGCGGCCCGCAGGCGCAGGGGGGAAGCGGAGAGCGAATCGCGGCATAGAGGAAATTCGGCGGTTCGCAAACCCCTGCGGACCACTGCTATAGGAAACACCTGGACTGATGAGCAGCTCTTTTCTCTCGTTCTTTTCCCCTCCCTTTTCTCTTTGCTGTGTTCCCTCCGCGAGCGCGGTCCGCACTCGTCTCCGAACCCAATGCTCACGCTCCGCTCTGCGCCGCGCGCCGGTGCCTCTCTTCTCTCGTGTACCCTTTGGCCCTTCATCATTGCACCCAGGCTCTCTCTCCTCACCGTACGCAGATCATCCAGGTTCGGTAGCCGGTGCGGACCACGCGTCACAGGATTTTCTCTCTCCGCCGCGCCACATGCCGATGTCGGAAGCCAAGCGCCCGATACTTATTTGCGATCTACTATTCACAATTTTGTATTGCTTCCCACATTCTTAGCCATAATTTATTAATTGTTTCAAAATATTTTAGGGTGTTCGGCGAACACTGCGAACCTATGGACGCCACGCCACTGTTTTTTTCCCCCCTTCATTTTATTTTTTGCATGGGGAGGTCGAGGTTTTGTTGGTCTTTTCGGATTTCGAATACTGTAATTTCTCTTCTATTTGGCCGATATTTATGAATGAGACCTCTTTTAATTCGTGTTTTAACGGAGAGTAAGGAAAAAATTGCTAAAAACACGCGAAACAATTTTTTTTGAAAATTGGACGAATCCTAGCGTGCCGGTGAAATGGTTAATCGAGCGTAAGTAAAAGGGTCTCGGCGACCGCTCGCCGGGAGCCGGGTTTTATTGTTTCTTTCGAGAAGCCGACGCTAGAATCAGGTGCGCGGGGAAGAGAGGGGTAGGTAGATTTCTATATGTGCGCAAGTAGCTTCCTGTATGAGCCACGTTTAGCATATGGTCTAACGAGGTCAGCTCGAGGCTCATCACAGATTGCACTTACGGCTGCCCTGGCTGGCCCTGGCTATCAGAGCAGTGGTACCAAATTTTGAAAAGCATAACAGGGGCGTGGAGATCTGTCAAAGCAACGTTATGAACAAAACGGAGGAGTGACATTCTCATTCGGAGAGTGCCGAACTGCTCAGCCATCCTCGAATCAGTTCCTTAGCTTCTGCTTATATATGCATATTTTAAATTAGCGCGGCGTATTCTTTGGTTGTTTTTAAAAAAACCAAGTAACGTAGACTCTTGGTATTCATCACACATAAACTAGATAGCCCCAGAATCAGAAAAAACTTTAAATCATAATTATTGACGGATAAGTAAACTTTTTACACGCTTTGGAAAATCTCAGAAGTTCGCGGTAGTCACTTTTCGGTAGGGAACTAAGGGACTCGGTTATTGTATCGAGTGGGGGGTCGAAACGATCGCAAAGGCGGTATACTACGTATACGCGCCAAAATACAACTCAGTCAAATGATGGTAGCTTTGAACAAGGGAGCTCCTTTGTTACACGCCTGTAGCGTAGAAATTAACATCCTTTAAAAGTCGAAAGGTTCTCTCCGTTAGATGATCGAATTTGGACAAGCACTCCTAAGTCCAAACAGAACATGATTATTGTTTGGCCCTGTAACCTATAAAAGGGACTGGAAGAGAGATTTCAGGGGTCCATAAGGCGGCACGGGATAACTCCCAGCCAAGAGCGGGTGGGGAGGTCGCGGTCAGCTGATGCATTTAACGTCCCCGGATCGATGATCAAGTTGCTTGCATTCATGAGGTTTGTTTGCCGTTCGGTGGTGGAAACGCAAAGCCGAAAGCTGCCAAATTGAACTCGATTTGATATCTGACAATTTAGATAGTTGAGCTCCGTTTAGCAACGATGTCCGTATTAGAAATTGGGGCGAACATGCGCATAAGCACTGGTGCCTTTCAGTGCTCCCTCTAGCACCATTTTCCCCTCTTCTTTCAGGTCCAGCTTGTGCTCGTCGCTTCATTACTACGCAAATTCCGGAATTGCGCTCTTGCCTTGGAGCGCAATTAGTTTTACTTTTACCTCTCTCGAGTTACCTCGAGCATCTTAGTCTCTCCGTTCAGCCCTGCACGTAAAAACGACAAACGTAAGTACGCCCCTCCAATTTGTTTAGCAGGATAGGTATGCAACAAATCAAAACTTAGTTCAGACACCCCAATAAGTAGGAGAGGTTGCAACAACTTGCAACAAAATCGTTTGATTCTTGCAACTAATAGATCGATGTGCAGATTGCCTACTCTCTCCCCCGAAGGAGCTATAATTGTGGGAACTAGTTGCAATTAAATTGAAACATGTTCCAACTTCAGAGTATCGCTGGTTGCCTATATTTAGATTTTAAACAACTTTGGTTCAGCAATTTTGCAATCTCAGCAGATTGCAACTTTGTCTTCCGATCAGATTGCCGAAAATCGGCACTTATCGACCAAAAGTTGACCGAAAGTTGAAACATTGTTGCAACTAATACCAAAATTGTTTCAACTTGTTGCAACTTTTACATTGAAAAATGCTACTTGGGACCCTGGTAAAAAAAAAAGCTGGATACCAAATTATACAGCCGGCTATACAGGGTTATCCAGAAGTCCGGGACCCCCCTTATAACTTTGGAACAAAAAATGCTAGAGATTTGAAATTTGGGGAATATTCCTAGGTCAAAGAGAACTACTTTTTGGCGTACCTAAAATTTTGGGGGGCGCCCCCCCCCTGAGGGGGGGCGGACCCTAACTTTTTTTTTTCAAATGGGAACCCCTATCTTGTGATACATCATTCGAAAGGGCTTAAGAAAAGAAAACTTTTGGCGCAAACCGATTGTCGATACCTCAATTTTTAACAAAATGGCGGCCAAAAAATGGCGGAAATGCGTTTTTTGGTTATTTACCGACGTATTCGCTTGAAACTTGGTTTCCACAGGTTTTCGGGCACGAAAAAAACAAATACGATATTGGATTTTCAAAATACCCGAGCTTTTCCAAGATGACGGCCGAAAAATGGCGGGAAAATAAGTTTAAATTGGAATGTGTCAGATTTCCTGTGCGTTGCTCTCAGCCAGTTGAAAATCGTTTCCTGATTTGTCATTTCAACTACCCAGGACTCACCACGGGGAGGTGGCTACGCGTCGAGTCCCGCGTTTTAGCGAACGCTATTGAAATGTGCCTCAGTGGTCGGGCGGAAGGGGAGGCACGGGTGGGACTCGACGCGTAGCCACCTCCCCGTGGTGAGTCCTGGGTAGTTGAAATGACAAATCAGGAAACACGATTTTCAACTGGCTGAGAGCAACGCACAGGAAATCTGACACATTCCAATTTAAACTTATTTTCCCGCCATTTTTCGGCCGTCATCTTGGAAAAGCTCGGGTATTTTGAAAATCCAATATCGTATTTGTTTTTTTCGTGCCCGAAAACCTGTGGAAACCAAGTTTCAAGCGAATACGTCGGTAAATAACCAAAAAACGCATTTCCGCCATTTTTTGGCCGCCATTTTGTTAAAAATTGAGGTATCGACAATCGGGTTGCGCCAAAAGTTTTCTTTTTTCAAGCCCTTTCGAATGATGTATCACAAGATAGGGATTCCCATTTGAAAAAAAAAAGTTAGGGTCCGCCCCCCTCAGGGGGGGGGGCGCCCCCCAAAATTTTGGGTACGCCAAAAAGTAGTTCTCTTTGACCTAGGAACATTCCCCAAATTTCAAATCTCTAGCATTTTTTGTTCAAAAGTTATAAGGGGGGTCCCGGACTTCTGGATAACCCTGTATAAGTATAGTATTTTAAAACACAGTCCGGGCTGTAGAAAATTCCCACAGCCCTAAAAATGCTGTACCTGCAGCCGCCTATAGGTTCCAAAACCCTGCTAAAAAAAGCCGCCCGTAGGTTCCAAAACCCTGCTAAAAAAAACTCTTGGAGCTTATATGCTTACGTGCGCCTGCGTAAATTGAGCTTATATTCTCATTATTCAACCCCCTCCCCCAAGCTGATACAAATAATTAGATCTTAGGCATTTATGTGAGTGCTGGATTCTAGAAGGACCCGAAGAGGGTTTCCGTTTTCTGTAGGTACGAAAGGCGGACTTCTGAAGATCCCAAGTTGCATTTCTCAACGTAAAAAATGCTATTCATTGCGATTTTATCGGCGGATCATCAAAATCTGCGCGATTAACCTCGATCCTGTCGCGATAAAATCGCGCTTTTATCGCCCGACCATTTATTGCGATGAAATAGCGCTTTTATCGCCCGACAATTTATCGCGATTAAATCGTACTTCTATCGCCCGACAATTTATTGCGATAGAATCGCGCTTTTATCGTCCGACAATTGGATTGCATTTTGCAAAAAGGAACCACTAGCATTGCAATGTTGCTAAGATTGTGCAACTTCTTTTGTCTTGGAGGAAAACCCCGATTATCCATTAACAGTTTTTATTTTACTCGCTAAAAACTGTGAATTTAAGACAAAAATTACCATCTTTTCATAGTTTTTCACGATTTCCGCAATTTTATTGCAAAGGATGAAGTTGCACAATCTTAGCATCATTGCAATGCTAGTGGTTCCTTTTTGCAAAATGCAATCCAATTTATCGCGATAAAATCGTGCTATTTTCGAAATAAAAATCGCAATAAATGATGATTACATCTCGATTTTATCGACGAAAATTGATCGCGATTTTATCGAACCAAAAATTGCGGTGCGTATAGCGATTTAATCATCATCCATCGCAATTTTTTAATGCGATAATATCTCGATGTACTGCCACCGATATAATCGCAATAACCAACCGATAAAATCGCTATTTATCGCGATAAAATCGTACTTCTATCGCCCGACAATTTATCGCGATAGAATCGCGCTTTTATCGTCCGACAATTTATCGCGATAAAATCGCGATTTTATCGCCCGACAATTTATCGCGATATTTTTGAAATAAAAATCGCGATAAATGACGATTAAATCTCGATTTTATCGACGAAAATTGATCGTGCTATTTTCGAAATAAAAATCGCAATAAATGATGATTACATCTCGATTTTATCGACGAAAATTGATCGCGATTTTATCGAACCAAAAATTGCGGTGCGTATAGCGATTTAATCGTCATCCATCGCAATTTTTTAATGCGATAATATCTCGATGTACTGCCACCGATATAATCGCAATAACCAACCGATAAAATCGCTATTTATCGCGATCACTTCTTCTTGGGATGTCAATTTTTTTTTTAAATTTTTCAAGGAGTTCCCAGATTTATGATTTTTCTGGGATAACTGGACTAGGTACATTCTGCAATTTGGAACTATAAATTCTAGCCCGGTTCAAAAACTACGTATGTGCCATTAGTTTTCCTAAGCACATAAGTGTTTTTTCAGGAGAGCCAGAATTTATAGTTCTAAATTGCAAAATGCAGTCCTACTTTGCTGAGCAACAGTACATAATATAGAGGCTTACCGCAGCTGCTGCCAGCGACTCAATCGCCAAGCAGTAGCGACGATCGGCCTTTCTATCGCTGACAGTGACAGTAGCGACGATAGGTCGCTCTATCGCTGGCGATACGCCTCTTGATTGCCCGCGATAGGTAGAGCTTCTACAGCTCGGCTGTTTGAGCGATAGAAATCTTACAGTCCGGCTGTAAAGGCGATACGACTTTCTATAGGTAGCCAGCGTAGGGGCGATACAAAATCCTAAGATTAAGATTATGATCCTCAGCTGTAATATTTTCATATCGCCTATATCGCTCTCCCTGCCAACAATTTCCCCAGGGAAATGACACGTGATCACATGTGCTCCAAGGGGAATGAAACGTGATCACATATCGACGGTGAAACTACCAAACCACGTATCTCGTTTGCGGTGTTTAAAAATCTACGCTCACATTTTATTTTTTTGAAGTAGACCAAATCAATATCATTCCTTGAAATTTTCACGGAATTTTCTCCGCAGAAAGAGGAAAAATCACAGAAATTTTCAAGACTGGATGTTAAGTAGTTTTTCATTTAAAAAATAAAGTATGACAGGAAGTCTGCGACGTCGCAAACCGAGATACGTGGTTTGGTAGTTTCACCGTCGATATGCTCCCAGGGGAATGACGCACGACATGATTACGTAGCACGGTGTCAATGATCATGATGTCAACCAACAGTTTTTCTAAGTACCTATTGTTGACACCATGATCATCAAAAAATAAAAATTCTGACTCCTATGAAAGATAATCATGGTGTCAACGATCACGGTGTCAACAAAACTTAAATTTTAAGTCTTATTTCTCTTGTGTCATTTACTCTAGCCTAGCCTGACCTGACCTGACCTAACCTAACTTTACCCTAATTTACCAAACCTAACCTAACCTAACCTAACTTTACTTTACAAGTAACCCTACTTCACTCAACCAATCTTTCTCCGATCTTACCTTACCCACTTAGAACCTTACCTGGCCTAACTTACTCTAACTAAACGTGACCCAAACTTCTCCTGTAGACTTAATTTTTTTTAATTTTACTAGTGAGGAAGATATTTTTCTGTCTGTTAATACCGTGATCGTTAACACCATGCTCAGGGTACTCTATAAATAAAATCTTGAGCGCCTCCTATTGCTCTATGGACTTGTCAGGAGACAATTGATTTTAGGACGAGTCAGCCCGTCGTATTTCATTTAAAATGAAAAGACATTTTTATTTTATAATAAATATGTTTTATTTTTACTCCAGATAATTTTAGGTAGTATACAATATGTAAAATCTAAGGTAATAGCTAGAATTTTATAAGCTAATTTAAAAATAAGCATTTTAAAGACTTTATATGTGTAAATGCATCCTCTGTACAAGTGATATTTATTTTGTGCAAATAAAAAAAAAAATAAAAAAATAAAAAAAACATGCTCAGGGCCCATTTTTTCGTTTTACTTCCAGAGCACGGCGTCAACAATTGTTGACTACATGATCAGATTTTGGGTTTGTTGACACGATGCAACATTACCCACGACATCACATGTACGTGCTCCCTCAGGGAATGACAAGACACCACATGTGCTCCCCTGGGAGCCGACATGTGACCCGTGTTCTCCCATGGGAGTGTACATGTGACTCATACAGGGTTATCCAAAAGTCACC